TGTTTGCCTCTATATCCCAATTCTCTCTTCCTTCCACTTCCACCATCTCTTATTTCACTGATCCTTCCATTGATTTTTTCCTGATGATGCTCCTACAGATGATTCTTCATCTAGTGGCTCTCCAGATATTCCTGATGCTCGTCCTACCTGCTGATCCTGTTCTGTTACCATCTCTTGAGATTCTTGATATTGCTTGTCACGCCCCACCTTTTTATTACTCGAAGTCGTTACCAAACCCATTAACTTAATTTAAGTTGAGAGATAACATACGGAAATAAACTCTTTAGTCCAATGAGTAGAAATAAATAACAATTCTCTCATCCGAATGCAAATTAAATACAACATGAGCATACTGAATAAAATGTTCGAAGGCTTACATTATTAAAGAATCAAGAAGAAGGGTGTAACCCTTTTTCATATATGGCATTCCGCCAACACAAAAGAGGCCCTGTGGCCAACAAGTAAGAAGATCCAAATTCTGTAGCACATCCTGCTTAACACCTGAAAAAGATTCAACAACGTGGGATGAACATATAGTTCAGTAGGGATCTCAACATGGCCCTCAACAATAACAACTTACAGATAGTTATGATCATGAATGTTCAATATCATACTACAATAGTAATGTGGCAGTTTATACAAACTATACATAAGTATGAACTTTTCTCGAAAACAGCCATTTCATTCAACGTTATAAGCAATTCATCTTTCTTTTCTTTTCATTACCCCTTGTTCCCAAACATTCATTACAATAACAACTTAGAAAACAATTCCACTAAGCCCATTACTTTTCTCCCATTTTCCATACTCACAACAGATTTTCCTTTTTCGAAACATACTTTCAAATACCCAATTTTCCTCCACACTTTCCCAAAATCTTATAATGGCATTTTGGTTTATTCCCAATACATTCATATCTATATATGCATGCCGTTAATAGAAAGGTGATAACAAATTATCAACATGTATATAATCAACAAATGAGGCAACTTGGCCCTCCAAAACTGTAACCATCGCAATCCATGATATACTCAGGTATACTGAGATATTAATAATAAGGCTCTACTCTACCTACCATAAGCACGGTAAGTTAAGGATACACCTTACAATCAAATGACTAGCCATATTCTCCAGACACAAGCTGGAAGGTAATGGTACCTAGTCCAAGTTCTCCAGGCGCTAGCTGGAAGGCACTGGTACCCCTCATTCTAAGCGCGGTATATAACACCAACCATCTCAATATAACAAAGCACAACCAATAAGTGTAATACGTACACAAACTATTCAAGATACATAAGTAATGTATTAAAGTATATGAACACATAGGTGTGTGGAGTACACCCCCTATCTCCTCCCACACACTGGAGTACATCACCTATCTCCTCCCTAGCAATTATACATATATAATGTATCATAGCACTTCATTACCTACAATGGTCAATCAACACAGGTGTAATGCATACACAACAATTCAACACAACCACGTCATCCTCCACCGATGACCAAAGACAAAACCTCTAGATACATGATTTTAATACACCTATTATAAAGACTCAACTCTCATGAGATCTTAAACCCAACAACGACACTAGTACGATAGGTAAGGGTAAAACCCCAAAATGTGTGTATTCAACACTTATGATACAATAATTCAATTCTCATATTTATTTTCTGAAACTCACATAGAGTTAACATTTCATTTCCCATTTCCAAGATCAACTTCCAGGATTTTTCAATTTCAAAACCCCTTTTTCATTTCACAAAACCAATTCCATTCATTATAAAGCCATAACCTGACTCGATTCAATACATTCATTTCAAACAACTCCAAAGCCATAGTTAATTCCTTAAGCGTTAACACCTTCACCTAACTCCTATTAACAATAGGGACTTACAAACCTTGATCAATTACCCTCCATTTTAATTTACCAAATCAAAACATAATTTAGGGTTTTTTCTTCTTTCTACAATAACATGCTAATTTACACTCCAATTAGTCCAAAGAACTATCAAAAATAAAATAATCATTCTCAAACAACCAACCCTAGGTTCCCTCACATGGTTTTCAAAAAGATTCAACATGATATGATTTTCATGCAATACAAAACTATCACATGTCTATCTATAGACGGAGTATTGAAAAAGAACAAGGAGAATCCCTACCTCAAATGGAGAACCCAAGGGGAAGAAGAGCCAAACTCGGAAGTGCTCCAATCCCAAAGTTTTTCGGATCAAAATGAAGCCCATGCAACCCTCTATCTTTCTTACAAAGAGATTAGGGTAGGAACACCCAAGAACTAAATCAATCCCTAGAGAGAAGTTGTATTTTAGAGAGAGAGGCTCTCAAAATAGGGTTTTGAAAAGTAAGAGAGAGAGTGTAAAAAGTGATTTAAAATATCACAGTCCAGATTTGATATACGTATGACCCGCTCGAGCGGATAATAGGACGCTCGAGCGTCAAACACAAAAATTGAACCCGCTCGAGCGCAAAAGAAGACCCACTCGAACATAGATTACACTCATCCAGCATTTTTACAGAGTTCGAACACCCGCTCGAGCGCCAAGATACCCGCTCGAGTGTGACCCGCTCGAGCGTAAGGAAATCCGCTCGAGCGTGAAAAACACATCTGCAGTAGTTTTGCAGACGCACAAGATACTGAAAGTATGCAGACTTCGCTTGAGCGCAAAGGGACCCACTCGAGCGGATCACCTAAAACCTAGGCAACAACACTTGAGACCAAAACTCAACCAACCTGTTCGAAACACGCCCAAAACATTTCTAAACTCAATTACCAAGAGTTAAAGGATGGAAATGCAACACAGACAACAACCAACAACCACAGAACCGTGTCCGGGATACTATTAAACAGAAAAGGAAAAACCGGGATTGCTATATTGCTAGTTACTCCGAGTCTCCTCCATTCTTTGGCAGTGACACCCTTGATGAATTTGCTGCTCCTATTATAAAACGGGTATCTAAATAGCAAGCTTATTTACAAGATTATTATTGTTTTTCTACCATTCTTAGTTATCATGAACCTCATACCTATCGTGAGGATTGTACTAACCCTCTTTGGTAGCAAGCAATGGCAGATGAATTACAAGCTTTACACAAGACACATACTTGGGATTTAGTTGCTCTTCCTCTGGAAAAACTCTTATTTGCTGTAAATGGGTATATAAAATCAAGACTCATTTTGTTGATACAGTTGAATGTTACAAAGCCCGACTTGTTGCAATAGGTTTTACCTAGGAGTATGGTATTTGATTATGAGGAGACCTTTGCTCCTGTTGCTCATCTTACATCTGTTCGCAGTTTACTTGCTGTTGCTGCCTCACGTTAATGGGGTTTATCTTAGATGGATGTTAAGAATGTCTTTCTTAATGGCGATCTTACCGAGGAAGTTTATATGCATCCTCCCTATGGCTATAAGCATCCTCCGGATACCGTTTGTCATCTTCGTTGTGCTCTCTAAAGTCTTAAGCAAGGCCCTCGTGTTTGGTTTTCCAAGTTCAGTACCAGTATTGCTCAGTTTGGTTTTTCCTCCAGCTCTTATGATTTTGCACTCTTCATTCGGAAGACAGCACGTGGTATTACATTTCTATTGCTTTATGTTGATGATATGATTATTATTGGCGATGATCTTGACGACATTCATGAGTTGAAACATTTTCTCAACTCTCACTTTGAGATGAAGGATCTGGGTTCTCTTAGTTACTTTCTTGGCCTTGAGATTTCTTCTACTCTGAGTGGCTTATATCATACTCAAGCCAGTTTGATCTCTTAGCTCGTGCTGGTCTCATGGATAGCAAGACTGCCTCTACAACACTTGCCTTACTTACTTCTCTCGAGGGCACTCTCCTTTCTAATGCGACACTTTATCGACAGTTGGTTGGTAGTCTGGTATATCTCATTGTTACTCAGCCTAATATTGTTCATGCAGTTCATATCGTCTGTCAGTTTTTGTTTGCTCCATGCTCTCTTCATTATGCTGTTGTTCTTCGCATTCTCAGATATGTAGAAGGTACTCTATTTCATTGTCTTCATTACTCTGCTCACACTTCTCTCAAGTTGTGTGCGTAATCTGATGCTTACTGGGTTGGTGATCTCACTAATCGTTGCTCTACTACTGGTTAGATTTCTTGGTGGCCTCATTTGGGAACATGCTATTTTAGTAACTTTTTGGTTTTTTGGTTAAAATATGAGTTAAAAAAATTAGTATGTTTGGAATGACTTTTTGAGTTTTTACCAAAAGATGTGCAAAAAGTAGAGAGAAAAAGGAATCTTTGACTTTCTGGTATAGTTTATAGGCTTTTTGGTTTTTTTTAGTAATTTTTTGGTTTTTAGGCTAAAAGTGTTGCATGCAAAACGAGGCCAGAAGCAAATTGTTGTCTCTAGGTCTAGTATTGAGGCTGAGTACCGCGCTCTTGCTGACACCACTGAAGAACTTCTATGGCTTTGTTAGTTACTTGAGGACATGAGGGTTCTTTATTCCACTGCTACTACTCTTTGTTGTGACAATCGTAGTGCCATTTTGATTGCTCACAATGATGTTTTCCATTATTGCACCAAACACAGAGAGATTGACTGTCAGTTTATTCGTCAGCATGTCACTAGTGGCACTATTCAGCTCCAGTCCATTTCTTCCGCTGCTCAAGTTGCTGATTTGTTCACTAAAACCCATCTCCCTGGTTGTTTTCACGAGTTACTTTCCAAATTCCAGTTGGTCTCCATGCAACCACCTTGAGTTTGAGGGGGGACTGTTAGTGAATATTGTATTTATAGTAATATATATTGTATATATATTATTCCATTGTACATTACGTTAGATGGTTTGCTACCTAGTTTAGGTTTTCCTTACATAACTCTCTCCCTACAATATATAAAGCGACTTGTATCATTGTTATGGTTACATAATTGAATATATTCTCTTCTATTCCTTGAATACTGCACTGTTAATCAAACAAGGCCATAGTGTTTTAAATTATTCTCTTATCAGGTTTGGAGGCTACAAGCGGCGCTCTGTGAACAAAGGGAGATCACAAAGTTCAGCCAGCAAGAGTACGAAAGACTACAAAATGTAATAGTTACAACTTTAACTGTCTTTGACTCTGAAATATGTGGATTCATTAATATATTACTTCTGCAAATATAGTACCTAGTTTACTTTTTCAAGTGGTTCCATCACAAGTCATTTTGTTGTCTACAAGGAATAAAATTGCATTTCACTTCCACTGAAATAGCTGTAACGTTTCGTTTCCTAGAATACCAAAAAAAAAAAACATTAGTAGAAAAACAAAATTTCAATTTTTCCTCCAAAACATACTGAAATGCACTGAAACTGTACAAAACATTTTGAAACGATGAGTTATTTTGACAAACTTGTCTTCACGAAGGATCTCTTACTTCTTGGGAACCCTTTGACCATTGTGTCCTATTAATATCGTATTTAGTAATTTTGATAGTTTTGTAAATTTTATTTGGTTGGAACGTTATGCACATTTAGAATCTTATGTTATGCTTGATAAGATTGATTTGTATAACATTAGTTTTATGATTCTCAACTTGCATTGAATTTACTTTCAAATTGTTTACATGTGTTCTTTATGTTAAAAGATGTATAGATCTTGAGCATGTTCAATTATTTAATTGTTGAATTTGGATGAAAATGTATATAGGTTTTAGTTTTTGTTTCCAAACATTTTCATATGTTTTCATTTCATTTTGTTGTTTCCAAAATGTTTGTGAAATATTTACGTTTTCAATCTTATCAAAACACCACCAAAACAAACTTTTAATCCTTGTTTGTTTAGTACTTTCTATACATCCAATTTTAGATGGTAGGAACAATAACAAAAAAACTTCTAAATGAAGAACGTCATATTAGATGTGTTTTTTTGAGTGTGACCCTAATTCCATTGACTTTTAAGGTGTGCGTGTGCACAGAGTGGAAACTCACACTGAACCTTGAAGTGCAAAATCAATAAACATTTAATTTTGAACTAGTTTTCATTTGGACTTGTGATCCCTAGCGATAATTGCAGATGGTTTAAATACTATCATTTCTAGAATTATCTAGTGATCTGATTCAAGATGTGGAATAATTACTTGCCTTATTTGATGTATAATGCTAACTGTCATGGCATTGTGTTTCAACAAAACTCCTGCATACAAATTCTAGGCAAAGCCCTTTAGTTTGAATTTCAGTATGTAGATTAATGTATTTTGCTATTGGGGAATTGAGAAAGTTGCAAAGATCATCTTTCATTCTTAAGAATATATCATTTTTTCCCATATTATAATCTTGTACTCATTTGCTGAATTTATCAGGAAAAGGTCCTATGTAGGGTTTGCTTCGAAGAACAGATAAACGTTGTCCTGCTCCCTTGCCGGCATCACATCCTTTGCAGGTATTTCAATCTGCCTTTTTGCTGCAAATATCTTTATTTATTTACTTTGTTGTACTCTGTTTTTAGGTGCACATTGCACAATGTTTACTATTAAGGATTTTATTTATTTATTTATTTATTTTAAAGTTTTTTCAAAGGGCAGAGGCTTTCATAAATTTGCACTGGTAGCCCTTTGCTTGAACATATGTGCAGTTTTTCATTGCACTCCTCACATCTCTAATTCATGAACTTCGATAGTATCACTATGACATTATCATGTACAATCCTCAAATAACGACACTAATTTCGCTTTAACTTCCTTGCGTATCTGAATCTGCTGATCATCATCATGGTTCCTTCTTATACTTTCCAGTACTTGCTGCCAGAAGTGTAAAAGGTGCCCCATCTGCCGCGTCTCTATTGGGGAGCGATTGCCTGTATATGATGTGTAGTTAAAAACTATCATTTATACGATTCGCATCCTTTTTGTTGCTTGCAACTGAAACTTAAGCAGGCCTTGTAATGATGGCAAATGCCGCAGCTTCTCAATTAATGTCCACAGTGTAATATTCTTACCTTGGCAAGAATTGTGTATATATTGTTTCACCTCTTTATAAAAGTAGCAAATCCGGGGAGTGATTGCCTGTATATGATGTGTAGTTAAAAACTATCATTTATACGATTCGTGCCTAACCAATAACTGGATGAGCTTTGTTGCTTGCAATTGAAACTGAAGCAGGCCTTGTAATGATGGCAAATGCCGCAAATACTCTTCTCTTGGCAAGAATTGTGTATATATTGTTTCACCTCTATAAAAGTAGCAAATCTCTTGTTTGCATCTACATTGTTATATGACCTTTTTCTTACTAAATTTTGTTAAATCATCACTGCAAGCTGGTATTAATTTATTACCACCCTAAAAAAATGAAGCTGGTATTAATCATCCCAATTTGGAAAAAATTCAAATTTAAGTATTGAATTAAAATAAGTTGTTATATTTACAGGGACAAAATTAAAATTTATTATTTTTAAATGTAAATTTTATATTGTGATGGTAAGGTGGTGGTGGAGGCGGCGGTGGCAGCCATTGCGGTGGTGGAGGTAGAAAGATAGTGGAGGCGTAATGTTGGAGAGGAGGGCAGCAACGGTGGTCTAATGAGTGGGGATTGTGGTGGTGGGATAACGGTGGTGATAAAAAAATGTTGTTTAAAACAATGATTTGTTTTTCGTATCATCATATTTCATTAATCATATTATTAATCATTGAATTTGATGTCACATGTACTTAATAAAGGTGTGTTTATCACTAATTTTTATGGGGGTGAACTTTACTTATCTCGTTGATTGACACTGATATCCTCAACTTTGATTGTGGTCCAAAATGGTGTACACAAATAAAAAATATCTGGATAAATAGTAGGGCAAATTACATTTTACCCTCTTAATTATTGTCTAATATCATTTTACCCTTTTTAATTAAAAATTATAACACTTAACCCCCATTAACTATTATTATTTTTCAATTTAAACCTTGGTGACGGAAATATCCTTCTAACAATAGGAGTAAATTGCACTTTACCCTTAAACTATCACTCAATAGTATGTTACCCTCTCAACTAAAAAAATTATTTATTTTTGGATAAATTACAAATACATCTCCTGAGGTTTGCTTAAAGTACAGATTGCCCATTGTGATTTGGAAAATTACATAAACTCCCTTGGTAGAATTTTTTATTTAACAAAATTAACTAAAAAAATAAAATTCATAATTGTTCTCCTACACAATAATAAAATTACCTAAATTATTAATTGAAACATATTTCTAACATTATGAAAAATTGTTAATTAATTTGATGATTTATTAATAAAATGGGCAGTTTGTTATGAAATTAGAAATCCCAGGGGGTGAAATGTAATTTTCAAAATCACAGGGGGCGATTTGTATTATTATCAAACCTCAAGGGGTGTATTTATAATTTACCCTTTATTTTTCATTTAGAATACAATTTTTAGGTTTTGTTTGTTATATATATATATATTGTTTTTAGTAAATTTTTTCATATTTTAGCCAAAAATTTTACATGTTTAGATGTACCTAAAAGTTAAATATTTGTGAATAAATTTTTAAAAAAATCACTAGAGATGAAAAAAAAAAAAAATGAAACAAAAAACTGGTATACTTTTGTATTATTCATCTTAAATGAACTTTTTATTATTTTTATTATTTTTAGATTTCCTTATAAATATTTTTCACTCTGTTTGGTTTGGTTTTTAAATTTTAAATTTTTTTCTAAAAAATTAAAAATTAATTTAATTAAAAAAATGAAAAAATAAAAAGGTCCAAATTAAAAATAATATTGGGTGATAATTCAAAAGGGTATAGTGATATTGGGTGAAAGTTCAAGGTGGTACATATAATTTATCCTATTGATGAAAGGCTATTTTAGCATAAAGATCCAAATTGAAAAAAAAGAAAAAAAGAAAAGAAGAAGATGAAAGGGGTTAGTGGTTATAATTTATAGTTGAGTGGGTAAAGTAATAAGAAACAATAGTTGAAGGGGATAAACTGATAAGAAACAATAAAAAAAATGATAAGAAACAATTAAAAAAAAAATCATGTTTCCTTTGTTATAATAAATCAAAGAAAAAAATGTTCATACTCGTCCAAGCCCGAGTCTAGATCGAGGCTCACCAGTCCAGTCCGAGGCCAGGCCCACCCAAGGACAGAATACCCTTGATGCTGGGTCTATTTTTTGACCCCTGACCCGGCCCGACCTGAAATTTGGCCGAAGCCTCTAAAGCCTGACATGGGCTGGACCGGACTAAATTCACACCCTTACAGTCTGCCAAATTGGGCCAAGAGTTTTGTGATCCATCACCCCAAGTTAAAAACAAATAAATAAAGTGGAGCCAGCTTGAAATTCTGTGAATATATGCTGCAATTATTGAAAAATGAAAAACTGTTGCAAAATCAACTATGAACTTGGTCAATTTTGTGGACCCAAAATTTTTTTTGGCTTATAATATCAGTGTTTTTTTTAGTTATTTCCTTTTTTATAAATAAAATAAAATATCATATGAGTTAGATGGTGTTTGACAAAGCTGAAAATTAAAAATTGAAGACTTAAAATTCAGTATTAAAAACTGAATACTGAATTTGTTAAGCTAAAAAATTCTTTGATAAAAATTTAAGTGCTGAATTAAAAATAAATTATTTGATATGTATAAAATCAAATTTGAAATTTATTATTTCAAATTATTCATTTTAAATTTTATGTTGTGATTGTAGTGGTAGTGATAGTAGTGGTAGCGGTGGCATAGTGGTGGTGGTGATAGGGATGGTAGTGATAGTAAAATGATTGTGAAATTTATGACAATAATGACAATGGTGATGAATGTGATAATAGTAGCAGTAGTGGTGGCAATGGTGGTAGTGGTGAAGGTGGCATGGTGGTGGTGGTTGCAGTAGCGATAGTGATGGCAGCGGCGGCGGCAGTAATAATGGTGGCATGATGGAGTTAGTGGCAATGGTGGTAGTGGCGGCGGTAGCGGTAATGGTGTGGTGGTAGTGGTAGCGGTGGTGATAGTGAATTTATAATAGTTGTGAGGGGTGATTTTACAATACTCCTTCCGTCCAAATAAGCCCTTGAAAGATTTTTGCTTCAATACTTGAAACAAAAAAATACTCCGGTCGGGAGTGTCAAAATTGGCATTCTGACGAGCAAGTCAGTCTCTTGAAGAGAAGAAACGTTTGAATATTTTTTAGAGTGTAAGTAATGAATGCATACATTCTTTCTTATCATTGCCTTCCTTTTATAGAGATCTTTTTACAACTATTTCTTTTCGTAGCTTTTTGTCATTGCCATGTCAGAGCCCATTCCTCTACTATACTCTTGGAAAGGGATAGCTTGGGTAGGGGTGTAAATCTGGCCAGGCCCACCTAGGTTTGGGCTAGGTCGGGCCTATGTCCGACCTCGCGGGCTCCCACCAAAATTCGGACAGGGCCTTGAGCCAGCCCGGCCCACGGGCCAAAAATTAAGCCCAGGCCCAAGGGTATTCGGACCTTGGGCCTAGTCTTCGGGCTTGGGTGGGCCTAACCATTTTTTTTTTGTTTTTTTAATTTATTTATACCAAAATTTTATTATTTTTCATTAAAAAATACACCGAGCATTGGGCAGGCCGGGCTTCGGGCTGGGCCCTAAGTAGGCCTTAAGCGGGCCAAACGGGCTGGGCCAAATGAACCGGGCTTTAAAACAATGGCCCAAGCCCTAGCCTAGGGGCTCGGGGCTGGGCCCAAGCAGGGCTAAACGGGCCTGGCCCATCTCGGGTTGCAGACGAGTTTCGGGCCACTCACGGGCTGCATGTCATTTTTACACCCCTAAGCTTGGGCCCACTTAAAGTGGATCATTATGCCGAGTTCCCTTATCTATTTGGCCCCAACACTCCGCATCTTGTACTTGGAATGTACTTTAGCCCCCCTTTGGATTTACTCGGCAATGAACTGTTTGAGCCCAGTGGGCCTTGCTGAGTTTGGCCCATCATGGATGGGCTTGAATGTGCCTTGTTTGCTGATTAGTAAGTCCAATTATTCGGTTCCCACAATAGTGCATATCAATAGTTATATTTAATATTTATAAATTCAGTTAGAATTAAAAAAGTTTCATATGATTTAAAATTTTCTTAAATTTTAGCCTACATTTTAAGAAACATTTAAATTTTTAAGTGATATTAATTATGTTTATCAAACATGCTTAATTAATTATCACTTAATCAATTCAGTTTTAAGTGTTGAATTATGTTATCATATGCCCTAATGAATCAATTGAAAGTAGGTAATTCTATTTCTACACATTATTTATTCTCTGCGTACACAATGAATTAACTTTTTAAAACAATTTTACCATTAAACAAAATGATGAATATAGATATCAATATACACACCCAACTCTGAAGCTAGATTTTCTCAATAGACATTTTCTAAGCGGACTTTGAACTTGAAAATTCTTAGTACACTTCTTTTCAAAAAAATTTAAAAAGAACTAAAAATACAAAATCGAGGATATGTAAATAGTTTGGAACTCTAAAACCGAAAATATGAAAAATATGTAAATACATAATAAAGAGGTTGAAAAAAAATAAAATCTCATTTGGAAATACATAATCAAAAATATATAAATAGTTCAAGACTAAAGAATCGAAAATATATAAATAGTTCAGAAATACAGACTCAAAAATATAAATTTAATTTAAAATTATTGAATCGAATGTTTTTCTTTTGTTTAGTAGTATGTTGTAAATTTATATTTTATTCGAAAATATAGAATATAAAATTAATGTTTCATTTGGTTGTTGATTGCTGAATTTTTTAAAATATATTCAGATAATCAATAATGATTTTTATTCTCTTTCCCAACTAGTATGAAAACGAATAACAAAAATAGTAAAACAGTAACTTAGTTTTTGTAGAATAATAATAAATTAATAATTTGATATTGGAAATTTGTATATCTCAGAGAGTATTGTGTTTCGGATGCTTCTTTTGTTGTGCTTCAATGCCGGAGCATTGTTGGAGAGTGCTAGAAAATCTCGTATGTGTTAGGCATAGTTTAGGTTTACATTTAGGGGTCGTGTGTATGTGTGTATTTATGTTTTGTGTGGTGTGTGTACATAATGTATTATATTATTATGCCTTAGGGATATAGTTGAAACATTTAATATAGAAAAAATTAGTATAAGATCCCTCTCTCATTTTTAATAATAATAAAAGAGGTCTATGATATTATTTTATGATATCTAAAATTTCTCAAACCTTATATCTCTCTCTCTTCCAAACCCAGC